CAGCATTGTGTTTGCAATGTCAATGCAAATGTCAATACAGTAAAGAAAAGAAATAACATTTATTTACCAAATAATGTGACTTCGTAAACCTCATGAAAGAGTCCTGGGGACTGCAGGGCTCAATGGACCATACTTTGAGAACCACTACCCTAGAGAAACTCTTGCACATGTGTGTCGGGATACATGTGTAAGATTGCCTATAGGATTATTGTTTATAAAAGCTGAAAATCAGAACAGGTTCATCAAAAAAAAAATGTCCAGTAAGGATGGCAGATCAATTTAGTAGAAAGCAATGCAAATGAACCTACTATAATGCTTTAACATATCAAGGAGGTAGGCCACCAATATACTACTAGAAGCAAGACACAAAAAAATACATAAAGTTTAGTTCTATGTACATGCAGTTCAAAATCTACAACAATAAAAATATTTTTAAGGATGCAGGAATTGGTGGTAAAATCAACTTTAAAAACAAAGGAGGGAAATTATCATCAGAAAAATCAGGATAGTAGTCCCTCCTAGGGAAGACTGAAGAGAGTTATGATGAGAAGGGCCAGACAGACATTGGCCATGATCTGTCTTTGCCTGGGTGTTGTTTACAATGGTATTCCTTTGTATAATTATTTATAATATTTTATGAGACTGTGTGTATCTGAACACTATATTCTTAAGAAATGTTTTAAAATATCAGTTCTTTCATTTATTAGTCAATGACTATGAATTTCATTATCTTGGATTTATTTAATTTCTACATTTAACTAGCAGATTCACAAGTAAAAAAAATGCCTAAATGGCATTACATGTAAGAAAGCAGCAGCATCCCTTTTCAGGCACTAGGTGGGAACGTTCGATATGGGTGGAGGTGAGGTTCAAAGGAAACGTTCTATTTTAGTTTACAGAGGAGCAGATTTTACCATCTGCTCGCTGCAAACTGATGGTTGCTCTGAAAATGGATCTCCCTCGTGTAGTCTCTTCTTTCATTTTCAGTGACAACAGTTTTCAAAACGTCTTAATCTATGTCAGGAATCTTTTCAAGGATACTAAAACAAAGCCAAAACCTACTGCTTGATGATGCTCACTGCCACACAAGTCTGTGATGTGGATATCACGGGAAATGTGTTCGCAATTACAAAGGCAAACAAGTCCAAGTATGTTTGTGAATGACAGGCTAGAGTTAAAATAAAGGATCACTGTCACTGAATGTGTTTTCTCACAATGCCCAAAATAAACTGAAAATTTAAAGAACATCTTAAAATATTGTATAGGTGTATATTTAGCCACCAAAATAAAACAACTACAATTCTTTAACTCTAATAAAATAATACTACAAACATTACCCTGGCCAGTGTGGCTCAGATGGTTAGGCATGGTCCCATGTACAAAGGGGTTGTCAGTTCAATTCCTGGTCAGTCAGGGCACATACCTGGGTGCGGGCTTGATCCCTGGGGCAGGGCATATGAGAGGCAGCAGACTCATGCTCCATCCTCACACTGGTGTTTTTCTCTCCCTCCCTCTCCCTGCCTTTCTCTAAAAACCAATAAAAATATTGTTCCTAAGCATCTATTTTTAATGGCTGTATTATAGTTCAAATTATGGATGTATGGCCACTTAAGTTATTCCTACTTTTAGGTATTGATATTGCTTATTATTTTCAATAAAATAAATAACTCTGGGGAAAATATTTTTATATATATGTTTTTATATGCATCTCTAAGCATTTCTTTGGGATAAAAAATTGTATCTTACATGATAAAATTGAAAAAAATAGATTTTTATAAGTATCATATCATAAACAATTTAACTTCTAGAATAAAATTAATGCTTGCAAGCCTGTTTAAAATAATAACTATTATTATAATATTGTAAATATTAGTCATTTAACATCTATTTATTTTCCACATAGTTATAAGTTAAAAATAGCCTTTGTGTTTATAAAGTTTGATTTCTAAAAGTAAATTATTTTAGGATTCTAAAATTTCAACAGAATTAATCCTTTACTAACTGCTTTATGACACACAGATAAACCCTGTAATCTATATAAAAGGTCATATCACTCAATACGCTCCACATTTAGTGCATTCTTTAACATCAGTAATACTTAATGGCATTAAAAAAACTCAAGTTACACAAAATAATATATATGATATATCTCAAATTTCTAAGGAAAATATGTTTTAAAGACACAATGAAAAGACTAAAAGACAATACAATGACATTTTACCACTGTTTTTATTTCCAGATGTTAATTTTACGTGATTTTATTTCCTTCTTTACATATGTCTATAATTTCCAAAATTTCTTCAATAGAAATCCACATAATCTATTTTAAAACCACAAATACTACTTTAAAAGAAAGAAGAAACTAAGATAGTTCACACATTGAGGCCACTCAGCATATACTTTCACATATTTTAGGATGAAGAAAACATTTTTCAAAGAAGTCAGAAATGACTATGTAATTGCACAAAGATTATTTTAGCCAAAATGTACACTGAATATATTTTAAGATATAGAGTAAGTTGATGTTTACATGAAAACTTCTCAATGATGCCAAAATATTTTTACAGTATGCCAAAAAGAAAAACAAAAACATAAGGGTGTGGAAAAAATAAAACCACACACATTTAAAAATGAATGTCTGACGAAATACGTGATAGCTGTAAATATTTTTTCTTTCAACACATATGTGGGTAGCATTGGTATGTTTATCCCTGACCCAAAATGTCATCATAAAGATATTATTTCATGAAAGACCAAAAAATTTTCAAAAAAACCACCACTTCCTTCTAAATATTTTAATTATTCTGTGGTAAGCAGCCTCAACAGTAAGAAATAGTACAAAATAAAATAAAAAGAAGAAATGACTTGAGAAAATAATTGACAATTATTGATAAGAAAGAAGTTCATTACAAGAGCTCAAAAGGAGGTGCATCTGAATATAAGAAGTATTACCCTCAGAAAGATTTTTTAAAATGTAGTTTATTTTTATTTTAATGTGTTTTTTGTTTGTTTGTTATCCTCACCCGAGGATATTTTTCCATTTTTTGTTCAGATACAGTGGGAGGAAGGGAGGGAGAGAGAGAGAGAGAAAGAAACGTGAAAGGGACACATTGAGTGGCTGCCACCTGCACGACCCAACCAGGGCTGGGGACAAACTGCAACCGAGGTACGTGCCCTTAGCGGGAACCGAACCCGGGTCTCTCTGGACCGCAGGCCAATGCTCTAACCGCTGAGCAAAACCAGCCAGGGCTAATGTCTTTGTTTTTAACACTAGGATGGCTCTAAGAAAAAAATCCTGCATGTCTTAAATTGGAGCTACAAAACAACAGACAGAATATTACTGAGATCAAACCTATATAATTTTATTAATCAATGTCACCCCAATAAATTCAATAAATACAGAATATTATTACTGAAATCAGCAGTGATAATTCTACAAGACATAAATTTTTTACAACTAGCCCCTCTTTCTCCATACCAACAAAAATAAACTTATATACTCATGATACTATTTGGAATATCTAAGAAAAAAGTCAATGCCTTTTGTGATAATTTATAAATAGGACGGTAAGAGAAATGTATCATGTTGAAAATAATTAAATTAAAATTAAATTTTAGAAATTCTTAGAAGCATTCTCATTAAAAGATTAAATTATTAAATTAAATTTATTAGAAATATTCATCTAAGTCCAATAACATTTTTCACACTTGCACATTTAAATAGTGCATTACAATTTACAAGTTACATACATACTCATTATTCCCATTTGGTTTTGGTAACAACCCTGTGAGATCAATAAGTATCCTCTCTTTAAAAAAAAAAACTGAACTAATATGCTTAACTTCCCTGGGTCACAGGACTGGAGATGGTAAAGGTAGGTTAGGGATACAGTTATTCAGGTTCCTAATGTAAAAGTGTTCTGTCACACACACAGATGACCAAAGTGTTTCATTGGTGTCAGAAGCAAAAATAAAAATAATAATGAGGATTTTTAAATATCCCAGAAAAAAAATTTAAGACAGAAAATAATAAAGCAAATTAATCTTTGTTTAATGACTACTGTATGTGGAGTGTATAGGTCTTTACAGACTACAAAACCTTTATATTAGTCCTGTAAAGCAGTAATTCCCCCAAGTTAGATGAGAAAACTGGGGTTCAGAGAGTATAAGTATCTTCTCATTTTCACACAGCTAATAAGTAGGTCAAATCCATATATTCTTGACTATAGCCTATGCTCTTAACCAATAAACAATATCGCCTCTTTGATAATTCTACTCTCAAATGACCAAAGAAAGATAGTGTGTTGTGTCATATATCAGTTACAACAGCTTAATTTAGCCAATCAGTTTAAATAGTAAAAACAGTGAAACTAAAAAGATACAAGTAATTTGAGACAAAGGGAAAGTGAAAGAATTCAGAGGTCAAAGATAGAACTTCTAAAAGCTACCATTTCCGCCCTGGCCGGTTTGGCTCAGCGGTTAGAGCGTCGGCCTGCGGTCCAGAGAGACCCGGGTTCGGTTCCCGCTAAGGGCACGTACCTCGGTTGCAGTTTGTCCCCGGCCCTGGTCGGTTGTGTGGGTGGCAGCCACTCGATGTGTTCCTTTCACATCGATGTTTCTCTCTCTCTCTGTTCCTCTCTCTCCCTCCCACTCTACATGAACAAAAAATGGAATAATGTCCTCGGGTGAGGATAAAAAATAAATAAATAAAATAAAAGCTACCATTTCCCCTACCCGAGAATCGGGAATGATGGTCAGGAGAGAGCCCTTCAGCACACCCTGTACAGAGAGCACCGACCTGGGACACACAAAATGGAATATGGGCACTAAAAACTAGAAAGGCAAACCCTACCTACCCTGCATTATTACTTTACATTTGTATCAAGGACAACCTCTTCCTACCATGCATCATTACTCTAACTAGGACCTGAAAACTCATATTACACAAAATATAAAAATGGTGTTAATAATTAGACATATCAAAAATATCTCAATCCTACCTCTTTCTCATGCATTCGAGAGAGTAAATGATCCTCATGGAGACTGCTGGATTTTCTCAGGCTGAATTTGGGTGGCATCTGCTGAATGATTAAGAGTTATTTAATACTTTTTCAGGCCTGGTTTATCCTGAACCCCAAAGTTAATTTCTAAATAGCCTGAAGTTTATACCAAAATGATGCCAACACTGGAGAAAAAAAATAATTTATCTACTCCCAAGTGATAGGATTAATAAGACAATTATGCTTCATAATGTGGACCTGCATTATTTCCTATAAATGATTCAATGATTATTTTATTTAAAAATATCTGTCCATAGGAAAAGTCCAATGGAATTTTCACCTACCAGAGAAACTGGGATAGGCTTCTGTCTCAGGTACCGAGGATTTTCTATCTGAAAATTTAAAAATAAAATAAGGACTTATTAATTTTTGAGTTTTACGTATTTGATAAAATACAGAATTAAGCTGCTTTATGAAAATGTTTTCTATATGTCTTAATATTTAGTTTGTTTTTTAGAATGGCTATTGCATAATACATTCTGCCCACTAACGCATGAAATATAAAACATTACCTTTGCAGACACAATTGTAATTGTACTTTCACAATCCTCTCCCAGACTATATTTTTGAATAGTCTCAATATTGTAAAAATGTCAATTCTCCTTAACTTGATCTAGCAACTGAATTTATCCAAACCAATATCTAAATAGGGTTTCTTGGAAACTTAAGAAGCTCATTATAAATAAATAAAGTGACAAGAATAGCGAAACCATCCCTGAAGAAAAAGATCAAGGTGGGCTGACTCACAGAGACATAATAAAACTACAGTAATGTAGATAAGTCACTAGAACTAGAAAGTACCAGAAATTCGCCCTGGCCAGTTTGGCTCAGCGGTTAGAGCGTCAGCCTGCGGTCCGGAAAGACCCGGGTTCGGTTCCCGCTAAGGGCACGTACTTCGGTTGCAGTTTGTCCCCGGCCCTGGTTGGTCGTGCGGGTGGCAGCCACTCGATGTGTCCCTTCACATCGATGTCTCTCTCTCTCTCTCCCTTCCTCTCTCTCCCTCCCGCTCTATCTGTACAAAAAATGGAAAAATATCTTCAGGTGAGGATAAAAAAAAAAAAAAAAGAAAGTACCAGAAATTCAAATGTATAAGAGCATATTATTCACAAAAGACATAGCGTTGCAACTTATTGAGAGAATAAGGATGTGTTCAACAAATGGAAGAAAATAAGATCAGATCCCTTCCTCACACCATATAGAATAAATTCCCAGTGGATTAAATATTTCTAATCAAATGCAGAACTATAAATACTTTCAGAAGACAATCTAGAAGAATGACTTCATCACCTCGTAGTACAGATTTCTTAAACAAGAAACAAAAAAAAAAGCATAAAAAATATATAAATCTGACCTCTTGAAATAAGAACCTATCTCCAAAAAAGATAACATAAATAAAGTGAAAAGACAAGTCATAAATTGGGAGATGTTTGCAGAAATGCTTAGTCTCTAGAATGTGTAAAGAAGCTCTTTAAAAATAAAAAAAGAATCCATTAGGAAAAAATAGGAAAAACTTGAGACACATTTCACTGATGAAGAAATCTGAATGACTAATAAACATATGAAAATACGCTCATTCTGTTTATAAATAAGAAAAATGTAAAGTGATACCACATGCGATGGTATTTTACAGCCACCACACTGGCATACACTAGAAATTTGACAATCAGCGTGTTCCAGACATGGAGCACTACTGGTGGGTGTATAAATTAGTATATTTACTTTGGGAAACATTTATTAAGTAAAGACAATAAAATCCACTTAAATAGCACACCAGAAAAAGAGGCATATTCTTTAGCAAATAACACTGTACTAAATATACACAGCTGTTTTAAAAATAGAAATAGCAAAGGTCCAGTGGCAGCAAAGGGCACTCAATAAATATTTATTGTTTGAAGGTATATATATGAAAAGTAAATAACTAGTCTCTATTTTTGGAATGGAGAAAACCAGCATAGAAAGTAAGTTCTTCAAAGACATCTGAAAAATATATAAAACCCTAATTCATGAAGGAGAATTAAATTTAAGGGGAAAACTAAAGGAAGAGGGAAGCAGGGAATTCTCAGAGATGCTCAAGCTCTAATTAAGCTTAAAATTTAAAACCAAAAGCCAAGGAAACCATTTGTGACTTATTTTTACTCTGATCTACATTTATAAGCAGCGTACATAATATTGGTTGAGCTAACTACAACGTAGCCTTTCAACTGCGCAGTAGTAACTCCTAGTGTATCCTCTTCATCTTTAAAACCATTAAATACAGGAGTTAAGGATTCCTTCTGTTATCATAAATTTCCTTCTTTAAATGGGCCCCAAAAAAAGGAGGAAAAAAAAAACTACTCTAATATTTAAAAGCAACAATGAACACTGTGAACAAGTATAAATCTTCTGTTGCTGTTTTTCATTCACAATATACTGAGTTTGTCTCATAACCACTTTTAATATGTAATGAGAATTATTCATAGCAAAGCATGTTCTTGAGTCTATTTGGGAAAAATAGCAATCTATTTTCTGATTTTATAACAGCAGCCAGATGTGCTTTGAAGTTAAATGTTCCCACTTTGTAATCCACCAGTAACATGGACTTGAAGCAATCTGTAAACAGTCTTAACGTTTACTTTTTTTCATGCTTTTAGAAAACTTCTTGTCCTCTTATAATACCTCAAGAAAGAACACCACAATAAAGAATGTCCAAATTGGGAGATAAAAAGGACTTATGTGAAACATTAAAGTCTAACAAAATATTATACAAAAAGCAAAGCCAAAAATAATTAAGTTCCAATAGCATGAGTCACATGACTGAACATTTCTTGTTTAAGAAATAGAATCACAGTAATAAAATATATAATAATTTGAACTAGACATAAATATAGACATCTGAATGCTCTCTAATGAAAGCTGGCTTTGACGATTTATTTTGTTTGTTCTTTAGCAGATTGGTTTGTTTGGTTACAAAGAGTTCTGTTGGTTTGTTTCTTCATATTATTCAGGATTTGGTCAAACTCACCAAATACCCCATTATAGACTAAGGTTGATTAGATAGAGATGGTGTATGGTTCCAGAAAAATACAAAGACATTTTATCTGGTATTTTAGCTGTCTTAGAGGAGCAAATGTTTTTAAGTCATAGCATCAGTCAGAGAAACAGCCAAAACTCTATTGCATAAAATAAGTTCAGTCCTCAATGTTAAATCAATTATGCTCCAAAATAATGTTTTTAAGTCAATATTTCAGAACTTGAAAACATTTTTCACTGAAGTAATATTACAAATGGAGGTTCATTCATTGGTTTACTCACATTTCAACAAACATGTAGTGAGTACATATAAAATACAAATATAAGGACACAGTTCATTGGCACAAGAAAAGGTAATAAGCCAAAAGAATTGAATGGAAACAGACATGTACTGTCACCTGATTTATGAGACAAATAACACTGCAGTGCAGCTGGAAAAGAACAGTCTTTTCAATAAACAGGAGTGTTACCTGGATAGATAGATATACAAGACAAAAATCAATCTTAATTCCATATCTTACAATATATACCAATACCACCTCCAGATGGTATGCAGATCTAACAGAAAAAGTAAAATAATAGAGCTACTAGAAGAAAACACAGAACATCTTCAGGACCTTAAGATAGTCAAAAAACTTAAACAGAATCCAAAATAACACTAAATATAAAGTGATAAAATGAGAAAATTATCTGCATTAAATTTTTAAATTTCTGTTTATCAAGGACACCAGAAAGAGAACGAAGGAAAGCAACAAAGTGGACAAAAATATTTGAATACTATATTCCAAAAGGATTCTAATCCAGAATAGATACAAAATCCTTACATGTTAATATGAAAAAGGCTGACAACTCAACAGGAAAATTAACAAAGCCTTAAATAGGCACTTCACTCTGACAGGCTATCCAAACTGTCAATAAACATATTAAAAGGCATCTAACTTTATTAGTCATCAGAAAATACATGTTAAAAACCACAAAATGCAATGTCACTAACCACTCTCAAGAATGGCGACATATTTTTAATTAAAAATAATTAACTGACAACACCAAGTACTGAAGAGAAAGTAGAGCAGAAACACACACACTGCTGATGAGGATCAAACTGGCAGTCACTCTAGAAAACTCTTTGGCACTATCTACTGTATCAATTGGCTTTTTGCTGCATAACAGGTCCCCCAAACCTTCATGACTTCAAACTACAGCCACTGGATTTAGCTCCCAATCCTGTGAGTAGGCAACTTCGACAGCCCACTGGGACAGTTCGTCTCACTGGACATACTCATGTGTCTGCTCCACTACAGTGACAGCTGCCCCTGGGTGACTATTGATAACAGATTTCAGGAGGCCACAATGCCAAAGGCCACAGTGGGGGGAACAGCCAGGCCCCCCATTCCTCACAGGGAGAGTAAGGCAGCCTCCCCAGCTGCGAATGCCTTACAGGTGCTCCCTTGACCACAGGGGGGAAGTTCACCCCTTCCTCATGGGCCCTGGCCTCCGGGGGGCCCACTGACTCTGACTGCCATCTACGCTCCAGAGGGATCAGGAGCAGACTCACCCCTGTTGATCTCACCCTCTCCTTCCCTCCCACTTCCTGTGCTGAGGGCTCTCCCTGCACAAACCCCCACCCTGCATCCTGTTCTCTCAGGTGTGCTGCCAGGGACCTAAGGTCTACCCAGAGTCTTCACTGTCCGTTTGCTGCGGGGGAGTGAGGCTCTGCCGCCGGCACATGGACCCAGGACAAATGGACGACCGGGACCAAAGCCCAGGAAAAGCCCTCCCCGTGTCCCTCACCCCAGCCTCAGAAAAAAAGGAAAATGATTTAAGAGAGTTGCACATGAAATATATATACATATATGTGTGTGTGTGTGTATATATGTGTGTGTATACATATATACATACATATATATATACATATATATACACACACACACACACACCAAGAAAGAAAGCTTTCCAAAAATTAAAAGTTAAAAAAGATTATAAAGTAAGAAAAAAATACAGGAGGAAAATTTAATTGCTAGTGTATAGTAAGTAAATATCTACTTGAAATATGTATTCCTAGGAAAAATATTAACATATTTCTGGGGGGAAAAAAAAGAATGTAGTTGGAGAAAAAAAAAAGGATTTTTAACATAAACTAGAAAAGTCCATTCCAGACCATCTAATGCATAAGAATGAAGGTGTTGACAGTCATATTAGCAATATAAAAAATGTACCCATCATATAAAGCACAAAAATTAATGAGCTATTAACTGCTCATTCAGAGGAAAAAAGAAAAAAGTCCATGGCACATTCTCATACCAACTAAAGTCAAAGCAAAATCTAAGCTTTTAATACACTGGATATTTAAATTATTCTACTGTGATCAAGAGATATAGTTCAGCCTGATTAATGCATATATGTTATAAATATATAAAAATGCAAGACTTTTATATTTTACACAGTTATTGTATTCTTAGAACAGAAATGTGAAACAAAACCCCAGGCAGGCCTAGTTTGAAGGCATTACCTCAAAACATTTTAGATGTTTTATTTTTATTTTATTATACAAATGAAAATTTTAATTCTCTGAACAGTTAAATAATCGTGAAAAGTATTCTGTGCTAAGAAATGTACATCAGAAGTTTCAAACAGTTAAGGGCAAAGGCAAGTTTAAAAGGATAGCCCTGAATTTTGTTTTTCACTTTGATACTGCTTTCTGGCAAAAATAATTTGTCTTTCGGAGAGATTTCCTGTGCTCTTTTCCCATACTGGTAACTTAGACAACTTTCCGACACCTTCAAACATGAAAATGTTTTCCTTTTAACCAACTATTCTCTTCTCGTGATCAATTGTTTCTCTCTTCTCTTTCACTAATGTACTCCCAAAATCACTAGAGATTCACATTGCTTCAATTCTTGTCCAGCTCCCTGGCTTCTAATCATGGCCACTGCACGAGCCAGGTGTCCTCACCTTGTGCTCTCCACTCTCCTCACTCCAGAGACAGGGCTGTCCAGTGTCCAGGTGCAACTACCCCCTCTAGCAGAGTGACTACGACATAAGACTCCAGCCCTTAAGTCTCACTAAATGCCAAACTCTGAACTCCCCAATTAATCGTACCATCTCTTCAAACTCCACCAGTCTAAAAGAAGACTTTTAAACCCCGACAGTGGAATCCCCCAGGGGCAATCAATTAACTGACACAGAGCCAACATTCCCATTTCCTAAAACCAAACCTTTGGGTGCCCTTCTGTTCAGCCTGCCAATCAGTCACGAAGCATTCTTTTTCTCCTTGAGATGGGTTTCCTTCCTACCTCTCCAACTCCACAGAAACCACACTGATGCAGAACACACTGCAAACACCTAACAGAAGATCGGTCCCCTTTCTCCATGTCCACCCACATCCACTATAACCTTCACAATGCTGCCAAGTCGGTTTTCCTACAGCACTGCTTTCATTCAAGTCCATCATTAGTAGGAAGGCTGCAGGCTTTTTAAAAACAATAATATCTACTGTCAGTGAAGAAGTGAGAAATAGATAATCCCATTCACCGCTGGTTGGAAAATAAACTGGTATACAACTTCTGGACCTAAGAAAGCAACCAAGTATGTATCAAATGACTCTTCTAAGTAATTTTAGTGCAGTATTACTTATATTACCAACAAACAGGGAGCAACCTGAATGTCCAAAAATAACAGAATGGTTAAGTAAGTTATGGAATATCCATCCAAAAGAAAAATTAGTGCCACCATTAGAATTCATGTTTACAGAACTATTTATAAACTTAAACCAAATTTAAAATAGCACATAATAAAATAGTATTTAAATATAACTCCAATTTTGTTTAAATTTTAATTTTATAAATACACACAGAAAAAAAGAAATATACATAAAACAAAATGTTACATCTCTCAGTGTTACGATTTTAAAACAGTTTATTCCTGTCGTTTTCTGTATTTTTCAAATATTCAAATTATAAATTATTTTTATAGTAACAAAGTATGAAAAAAATTGCGTTAATTCCCTTTTCATTTCCTCAAAGGATTTAAACAGCATGTATGTAAAGTGGAACGTGGAGAGGAAAAAATAAACCTCCTGGGCTCACTATGGCCTAAAATTGCAGGGCTACCCCTCCCACTTTAGCATGCAGAACCCCCATGCGATCCAGTCTGCTAACCCTGCTCCTAATCCCCTACATAAACCACAAGACCCGGTCCTGTCAGTTCACTCACACAGCACCCCTTTCTTCATGCCTATTTCTGCCTTGAATTCCCAGTCTGTCCTCTCCACCTTCCAAGTACATCCATGCCGCCAGCCTTTGGATCTGAAAACTGTTGGCCATGATGGCGGCTCATCCATGAAGTCTCCCTGAGACATTTTTCAACTCAAGTGTCCTTGCTTCTCCAACTCCTCTCTCCCATCCCCTCCACCTTGGTATTCTACTTTGTATCTAACTCATTTTGGCACTTTATCATATACGATCTTAAATTACTATTTCACTATTTATGTGTATATCTCTTATTTCCCCAACAAGAAGGTCAGCTTGTAGGGGCAAGGACCCTTTTACACTTATTTGGAATGCTCTTTCTCTTTCCTGACTCAAAGTCCTTCTCGATGCTAACCCAGTACTAGACGTCCAACATCCAGCACTAGTCACTGAATAGAATTAAATTAGTTCAAATGTTTTTCAAATACAATACAATTCTGCCACATTAATATACATACATAAAACAAATACTTGTTTTACCCCAAGATTCCAACTATTAAGACGAGCTTCGATGTCGCTGTCATCCAAAGAAATAGCAGGTTTTTTCAAATGAACTTCCTGAAATACAAAAGAGAAAAAGGAAGAATGGATGAAGGAAAGAAGGAAGGAGAGGGGAAATAAAAGAGAAAAGGGAGGAGGTAAAAAAGGGAGGGAGAGAAAAAAAAAGAAGGGAGGGAGGAAGATGGACAAAATATATGTCATTGAGAGTAATGAGAACTTTGTGAGCTTTTTTGGTAATGCTATATTGCCCTCAGAGGAAAGGATTATGTTACAATTGAGCTAGTTCTCAATTCTAAGTAATGACTGTTTATTACAGCGGCTTAGGGCTATAAGATGCCTTCACAATATATTCACACAGTAACTAGATTTCAAAAAAAAAACATCAAAAGAATATTTTAAAAATTAATCCAGACTCTTCTCTTTAAGTTCTTTTACAAAAAGTTTTAATTGTGGTATACCACAGTCGCTTTAAAGGGGGTGGGGGGGGAACACTTGAAAAGATGAATTATTTACTCTCGTTAAAATTAGTTAACAGGAAAGTTTGTGCTGATGTCCAAGAAGCTCTTTGTTCTTAAATTAATTCTCATTCATACACTAAATATAAAGAGAAATAAGCTTTGAATTCACATCACAAAAACACAATTATGTGATTCTTTACTTTTTGAAAAAAGTAAAATTCCATGCTTTTTTCCCCCTCCCACATATTTATTAAATTACACATTTATCAAACCAGATTCAAATTATAATTAACTGAGGACAGCCTAAGGTCTGTGACAAAAATGAACAATGATCTGAAGCACTAAAAATTTCGAAAGGTGAATCTGTGTAAAATAATAATGTATATTCTAAAGAACAGCCAAAAAATGTTATTTTGAAATTAAAATTTGTTGGTATAGCATTTTGTGCTTTTAGAAAACCTCATAACTAACAAATAAACCTATTTACCTATGGTCATTTAAATCATCTGAAGTGATGAAAAATATACTAAAATGTTCGTATTTTACTGAGTCTCCAAATATCTAAGGAACAAAATGTTGTTTGTTATATATTAAAATTCATTATTGCTTCTACTATGGGTCCCCTTTTTATTTTTATTTTCGTAAATAAGGACACCTAAAGAAAATGTACCTGCTCTGTTCATTTTGAGTAATAAAATCATTGATAATAAACCCACAAACATTTAAAATGTGCTCCCCCTTCTGTTAAAATAGTTTTGGAAGTTCCACACTATCACTGGAGAAAATGCAAGGAGTTATGTTTGGAGCAACATGTGCTAAAACAGTCATTCATCACTGTGATCTTCTTGGCACTAAAAGTCTTGTAACCTAAGACAAGCCACAGTTACACAATCGAGACCCTAGCAGGCAGGCACAGTCCTTCCCTTCACGAAGCTACCTGCAATGCTCATTGGCACCTTGCTCAAACCAAATCTATGTTAAGCAATTAGATGCAAGAGAGGTATTCATAGCTCAAGATATGAGGAGTTTACTTCATCAGAAAGGCAGTATCTCATATTTCACCACAAGTTAATCCCAATTTCCTAAGTTTATGACAATTCAGTGTCTCATTATTTGTATACATATGTTTAATAAAAGAGAAAAGTAAACAATAATAATAATAATAACTACAAAACAAAGCTTTTGCCCGGCCGGTGAGTGTCATCCCATGGACTGAGAAGTCCCCATTCGATTCTGGGTCAGGGCACATGCCCAGGTTTCAGGCTCCATCCCCAGTGGGGCCATTCAGGAGGCAATCGCTTAATGTCTCTCTCACATCAATATTTCAATCTCTCTCTCTCGTCTTCTCTCTCTAAAAAATCAATAAAAGCATACTAAAACAACAACAACCACAAAGCTTTCCAAAGTTAGTCTTCGATGTACAAGAAAAACGACAGACTGGTTAACACGATGCCTTGGAATCACTGAGAAAGCAGAAGGCGCAGTGTGGAGTATAGCAAAGAAACCATTTCTTTGACATCAGGGTGGTCACAAAACTTTCAGACTTTACTCACTGTTTCTAAGTAATCATTGGAACTTTGACAAAATGAAACTAAAAATTTGTGGAGTTATTTTAAAGCAACAAACAAACAAACAAAGTAGAATCTGATCTTACACAACTCTTTGGGTTAGTATTTTGTCCATCTTCTCCGTAGGTTGGGCTCATCGAACGTGATCCCCTTCGGAGCTTGGCAGTGTACTGTTCCCTACCAAGAGATCAGAATAGTAACAATCAGAATTGGGGGTATTTGGAGGACACAGGGGTTTTCAAATCTAGGATTACCAATATTTGGGGGGGGGGGGTAGAATGAGATGATTGTTTATATTAACAATGATGTTTCAGTAGCAAAGGAAAAAACTAAATAGTAACAACTTGTATTTCTCACATTTTACTTCATTTAGATTAAACTATAAATAAAATGTCAACTAAATGCCACATACTTGCTTACAAGCAAATGCTATTTTTAAGTGAGACTATAATAAACTACATGTATTTAAATTTTTCTCTTCCTTTCCCTTATCCTAAGTGTAGGAAGAGAAAAATAAATAAATAAAGCATATATTCTCAGAGAAAATAACTGTTTTAAAAGGTTATTAGCAAGTTTTGTTGGATTCATGTTCCACATCAAGATGAAGCCTTAAAATATATAAAACAACAAAACTTTTATGTAGCTGAAAGTTGGAATTACTTTGAAACCTTGTCAAAAAACACAGATAAATCAAAGTCTGTTCTTTAAAAATGCACCATGTCAATTCAGGTAAAATGTGATAAGTACGTCATGAGTAGGAAAACAGCGTAAGCTTTCAAATGAACTTGGGCAAAAAGACTTTTCTCCAGTGTAGAACACAATATAATACCATTCTCAATATTCTGCCCTAGCCTGGAGTCTCTCATACATTTTGATTCACATTGCTTCAATGAAAGTTTCATGACGACAAATATCTATTCTCTGAACAGCTGCTTTGATATATAGGAAATGGGAACCAACCATAACATAATGAAGCAAAGTCACTGACTTTCAACCACAAGCCACGTCAGGACTGCCTTTACAGTGAGCTGCACTGAGCACTCCCAAAAGATAAAACAGTAGCTCAAAAAGACATGATTACAATGAATGTGTTTTTTGGTAGTAACTTTAATAGAATAACATTTCTTCGACTAGTTACTAAATCATTTAGAATGTCTGGAAAAGCTATTTTAAAAAGAACTATTGATTTTTTTTATACTCCTACTCAATATCCAACATAGCCAAATAGTTAAAAAACAAATGAGAAAAGTAAATAAAGTAATATTTTGAGAACAATCTCATCAGCCAATGTGCTAAAGCTGATATAAGCATTTAAAACTCATTCTGTGGGAAGAGGCAACCTGATATATCATACTAAGCAGTGGCCTGTTCTTCTTTAAGAATAGATTAAACAATCATAAAAAGAGCTATACTTAAAAATTTAAAAATGCTTAAATATTAAAAGTAATTCTTCTCATAGAAATATTAATAAAAAAGAGGTCTGAAACATTTATCGGTTTATTACACAGGGCGCATACATAAAACAACACACCCTTTTAACTCACTTGTAGCTGTCCTCTGTACCAATCTACTTCTTCTCGTCACCATAAATTTTCAAAATAAGTTATTGGATTCATGTCCCAACCTGCCATATACTTTTCAATCACTGCAATCTGACTCCCACTCATCCTGAAAGCTCTGTAAGTCAAGTCACCAATGATCTCCTAGTTGCTCAAGCAAATGAGCCATAAATGTCCTTACCTCCCTAGCTGATCTCACCAAAACATTAGGGACAGTGTTTTAAAGCTGCCAAATTCATCGGCTCCATAAGAAATCTCCTTCACGGTAACCTGCACTAGCTTTCCTTTCTCTGTCCCTTCCACACATGCTAAAATCCCAGGGTTCTGTGTCTAATCTTATCTATTTCCCTTTTACATGCTTTCCCTAGACAATTCAATATTAGTTTTTCAGATAAGCAGCAGCTTTGATTACCAAATTCACATCTCAGCCCAAACTGCTCTCTTGGCCTCCAACCCCAATACAAATACAAGCTGAATACCGCCCATGCAACATGTCCATAACTAAATCATAGTATCGCCCTAGAACATGCTCCAGTGCAGGCCAAGCACAGCAGAGGCATCGCCGAAGCCAGCTCCAGGTGAAGGCGGCTGACCCAACCAAAGAGGGAGGTCAGTGTCACTGCTAAAATCTGGCTGGCACAAGAAACATAGGCCATTAATTAGGCATAGACATTTCATTTCTTGCCACCGAGACTGTCTCCAGCTGATAACGCAGTTAACTGAAACTCTAAGTAGGTACAAAGACAGCTCAACATCACAGAGATGGGGGCTGGAGGTCAAGGTGAACAGTGAGGCAGAGGGCAGAAGGCAAAGCTCAACCCTATAAGCCTTCTTCTGAAGGATAACAGGGGCTGCCTGCCTCGGACTAGTACGTCGTGGTGCTCATACAGACAGCCTACAGTCTGCACAGGGCACGGGATTACAGCCAGCTCGTGATGATGGTACTTGGGCCAGGTAGAAAAGAGGGACTGTGGCTCAATTAATCTCAGGGTGCCCAAACCAACACAGAGAGAAAAGCTTCAGCACATTACAAGACACCCTGACAAGCAAATACCTTTGTACTCCTCTTAAGGAGTAAAACTATAGGAAATATACATTTTTTCTTTCACTTTTTCCTAATGCTAAAATATTTCAACAGGAATCCAGAAACATTCTCTCAGCATCTCTGTTGATTCCAAATGTTAGAGAAACATAGACTTGTCCCTATAAAGATGAAGAGATAAGCAATGACATGTACAATGTTTGAAAGCCTAAAGACCCATCAGACATCCTCCTACAAAAGAAACTTAATACATTTTTAAAGGGAGAAGTTCTAAAATGTATTTTTAATCTGTGCTCTTCATGTGATTCAAGGGAACAGTCCAGATGTAAAAAGGAAATGAACCATCTGTGATCATAAAAATGTGCTTACAAATGAAAAACGTGATTACCAAATTTTAAAACCATAATGGAAGAAGAGGATCGCCAAGTAAATATAGCATTAAATCAAATCAGTGAATTAGAAAACTGCTTCAAGAAATATTCTAAGATCGCAAAGGAACAAATAAAGGGATACATATAATAAAATGAAAATGCAAGAGATAAGGGAGATAGATCCAAAATCACCAATACTGAAATAACGCAGATTCCACAAGGAGTAAACACAACAGAAACTTGGGAAATAAGAATGAAAGCTATAGTAGTGATAATGGCAGTTAAGACTGCATCAGAGAAGAGCCTCAGGAATAATTATGACAGCACTTGGAGCTAGAACAGGAATGCAGTGCATGACACTAGAGGTCTGCCAGGCTCTGGCTCCAGAAACAACTGGAAACAACAGGAAGTGTGACTGGAAAGAAGCAGGAGAGAACCAAAGCTCCTCAAAGTAGAGGAATAAGGTCAAATCCACGGAGAAACCAAAGGCAGGGGTGGAATTCCTGCTCCCGAGCTGAAACCAGTGCAGTGGGCACTGCTGAAAGCTAGGGCTCATACGAAGCTGTGTGTCACAGAACGGCCAAGAACACAAACAGCCTCCAAAACAAGGAATCAGGCTGGCTTCGTGTGAAAGGGGCAGAGAACTCGAAATGAAAAGAGGTATTTGAGTCACCAAATTACTACACGTGGGAAGCAAGCTGAGAAAACTACTCGGCTTAAAACAAATCATTTCTTATGGTTAAAGAAAGATAATTCAGAGGGAAAAGCCCAGAGCCATGAAGAGCACACCCAGGAAGCAGCAAAGCCCTAATCAAGAAACAGGCAACAGACTGGATGCCTGGCGAGACGTCAGAATGCTGCAGAATCGTCCTGCTACCGTCTCCCACTCTCAGTTTTTTGAATGGAAGTTCTCCAGTCCCCTCTCATCACTGTGTTGGCTGTGTGGGTAGATTGGGGGGGGGGGGGGGTAACTTACTCCTTTAGTTCACAGGTATTTAGATTGGAAGAAGCCACACCAAAAAAGCTTTGGCTATACCTGGATATAAATTTTATTAAGTTTATTCAACTATAACTTATTTACAATAAAATTTTACCCATTTAAAATGCAGAGTTTGATGAGTTTTGACAAATGTATAATACCGGTACAACTAACATAATAAAGAGACAGATTCCTTTTATTACATTCCAAAGTTCTCTTGAGGTCCTCTGGAATCAATCCCCTTCTGCAAACCCAGGTAACTTGATCTTGTAGAATCTCAAATATATGGTATCAAAGAGTATGTACGTTTTTGTCTGGCTTGTCTGAGGAAAATGTTTTTGAGACTCAGCCATGTTACTGCACATATCAAAACTTTATTTCATTTTATTGTTTGTAGTATTCCATTATATGAACGAACCATAATTTGCTTTTTCATTCATGTGCTAATGAACACACAGATTGTCTCCATATCTGGGCTATTATGAATACACCTTCTGTGAACATTCAAGTTCATATATGTATGTGGACATGCATTTTCATTTCTCTGGACTAAACACCGAGGAATAGAATTGTGGGTCATATGGTAAATTATCTTAAACTTGATACGAAACTGGCCTCAGTACCACCACCTCGGTACTTTCTGGTTTGGTCCCTTAGAAAATACAAGCAGGGAACAGACTGACAAACCTCAAAGGGAAGGGTCCGGGGGGAGCAGGGAGAAATAAACCAAAGAGCGTATATGCATAAATGCACAACCAATGGACACAGACAACACTGCGGTGAAGGTCAGGGGAGGAGGTTGGAGGGGGGTCAATGGGAGGATAAAAAGGAGGAACATTTGGCCCTGGCCAGTTTGGCTCAGCGGTTAGAGCATTGGCCTGCGGTCCCAAGAGACCCGGGTTCGGTTCCCGCTAAGGGCATGTACCTCGGTTGCAGTTTGTCCCTGGCCCTGGTTGGTCGGGCGGGTGGCAGCCACTCGATGTGTCCCTTTCACGTCGATGTTTCTCTCTCTCTCTCTCCCTCCCACTCTACCTGAACAAAAAAATGGAAAAAATGTCCTCGGGTGAGGATAAAGAAAATAAAAATAAAAAGGAGGAACATTTGTAATACTTTCAAAAATAAAGATAATTTTTTTAAAAAAGAAATTGGCAAACTGTTTTCCAGAGTGGCAGTGCCATTTTCTATTCCTATCGACACTGAAGACTTCCAGTTTCATCATATTGTAA